CATCCTTTTTTTATAAGATTGAATAGTACAAAATGAGCAAAAGACTCAGTTATGTGTGGTTTTCAAGATACTTTGGACGCTCTCCTGAATGACTAGTAAGCTCTACTTTCTTTTCTTTTTTGCCAACCAGGAAGGATTGCTATTGGAAATTACTTTCTTCTTCCTCCCAACAAAGAAGAGAGCATATGATAACATGTTCAATAAGACACTGTAAAAAACAGGTGTCTACTACCTAAAAGCAGAGATATTTAGGTAAAAACCTGTTGAATGATTTCTGATCATCTTTTAAGTATCCTATATAATAAAGAGGTAATATGCAAATTGACTGTCACACCCTCACGCAAGATCCCAACCCCATGTGGTCACAAAATGGCCGCCACAAGATGGCTGGCAGGGGAAGGTAGTTGTGGGCTATTAGGCCAGTAGGGGATGGCAGTTAGGGGTGACCAGGCATGCAGGGGAGGGCAGTGGGGGCAATCAGACCTGCAGGGAAGTGAAATTGGGGCAATCAGGTTGGCAGGGGAGGACAGTTCGGAGCAACAGGGGAGGGCAGTTAGGGGCAACCAGGCTGGCAGGGGAGAGCAGTTGGTGGCAACCTGGCTGGCAAGGAAGAGCAGTTGGGGGCAACTGGGCCAGCAGGGGAGCAGTTAGGGGATGATCAGGCTGGCAGGCAGAAGCGGTTAGAGGCAATCAGGCAGACAGGCAGGCAGGCAAGCAAGCAGTTGGGAGCCAGCAGTCCTGGATTGTGAGAGGAATGTCCCCTATTGGAGAGGGTGCAGGCTGGGCTGAGGGACACTCCCCTCCAATACACAAATTTCATGCACCGTGCCTCTAGTCTTCAATAAAGATAGTGGAGGTACCACCCCCACGGAAGACTGGAGAGTCAAGAAAGAGAACCAAAAGACAGTTACATACCTTCCTTTGCTTTTTGTTCAAATATAGTTTATTTTTTTTATCTATATCTACACCTAAGTAATAATGTTTTCCCAGATAAGAAAAGCAATAAAAGATCACTGAACTGTAATTCCTAGAACTGATTGTTGGGTTGGGAGAATGGGGAGAGAAGCAAAAGTGCAATGCAGCCCTAGCCGGTATGGTTCAGTGGATAGAGCATCAGCCTGTGGACTGAAGGGTCTCATGTTTGATTCCGGTTAAGGGCACATGCCCAGGTTTGCAGGCTCTATCCCCATTGGGGGGCATGCAGGAAGCAGCCGATCAATGATTCTCTCTCATCACTAATGTTTCTATTTCTCTCTCCCTCTCCCTTCATCTCTGAAATCAATATATATACACACACACACACATATATATATGTGTGTGTGTGTGTGTATGTGTGTGTGTGTGAATGTTTTAAAAGTGCAATGCAGATACTCCTAAGAACAAAATTTATTAAAACCTTCCAGTTCCTACTTGCCTCCTTTAAAAAGAACATATTGTCAATTTTCAGTATTAACTCTGAAATGCTGGATAAACAAATTGAGAGATCAACTAATTGGGGAAAATCATCATTTTGAATGGTACAGCCACAGGGACTACTTGCTAATATTACCACAGACATTTCAGTATGCTTTGCAGGCACTGCCATCTACCTCATTTCATACCCCAAACTCCAGTTCATTTTAATGGACAAGGAAAGCCACTGTAATACAGATATTAACATTGTCATCTCTTACTAAGTTTTCCCATCATCCTATGGAGCATACTTAGTGAAGAATTGCTTTTCCCCAACAGGTTATAGATACCAAGAACAACAAAACCTGTAGTCTTGTAAAACCTGTTCTTCTTAAAAAAAAAAAAAACAAAAAAAAAAAAAAAGCCACTTCTTCATCTTGGATAACAGGTAGAGTCAAGTCAAAGACATGACTTTGAAGCCTTAGAAGGCACTCTAAAGGGTCACAGGCTTATAATTCCCAAACTGGAAAGTAAAGAATACAATAAACACATCACCCAGCAATACATTTAGGAGTAATGGCAATAACGAATGAATACAATAAACACATAACTTAGGAATACCAGTAATAATGAATGAACACATTAAGTCTCCTACCTCTCCCACAAGCTTTGTAATAACCCTGTTGATTTTTTTTTTTTTTTCTTTTACTGCCACTAATCTGGTCCACCCTCTCAGCCAGCATTTTTATTGCTATCACATCACAGTTTCATTAAGGGTCACTCCACTACTGAGTGGAAGGGATCCTTGCAACAGAGGGCAAAGCCACAGTCCCAACCGCATGGTCAACGGAGTCTGCCTGTTTACTGACTTTTATAGATGGTGAAGTTCCTTGTGAAGGTACAATGGGGCATTATCTTTTCCTCACCTTGAATGGACAACGCAAGAATCTTGACCAGCCAAATAATGTGAACAGCCACTCAATCAAGCGACATGACAAGTGGAGAAGTGGTTCTAACTTAAGTGAGCATCAGGATCACAGGGTGAGCTTTCTAAATAATACATATTCCTAAGCCCCTCTCTCGCTGTATTAAATCATTAACTCTGGAGACCTATGAATCTATCTACACTAATAAAAGAGAAAGATGCCAACTGACCATACCTCCATGATGCCCCCCAGCCAATAAGGAGTATGCAAATTAACAAAAAAAAGATGATGGGTTAATTTGCATACACAGGCACAGAGCAAAGACTGAAAACTGAAGAGGCTTGGCTTCTCCACTGCACCTGGAGTGTACCAAGGCCAGAGCGAAAGCCTGGGTCCTGGGTGCTGGGTGCTGGGTGCTGGGTGCTGGAGGAAAACCGGTGCCGGCAGCCAGGGGAAGGAAGGCCTATTGTATGAATTTTCGTGCAACGGGCCTCTAGTGTGTATTATAAGCAAAAACTGTGCCTCCCAAGCCCATAATTAATATAATCAGATGAGTTTGAGAAACAAAGGAAAATAAGGGAACATTTGAAGGGATTATTGGCTTCCTGTCAATCTGCAAAAGCACTTAATTACCACTGTACTTCCTCTTCTATGGTGTTAGATGGCATAATGATACTAGAATTTTGATATTCCAGACAGGGTATGAAAATCATTGTTTTTATTTACAGCAAATTAGCTTTATAGCTATCATATAGTAACATAACTAACCAAAAATGCCATAAAACAGTTAAACTGAAAATGTTAACAGAAGACATCTTAATGGTTGAATGATTGATTATTGCAAGCTCCTACTTAAATTTCTGTAATAAATGTATATTCCGTAATAAATGTATTTGTTAGTCCTTTTAGGAAAACAGATACTTAAGCATTGGTGTCCAAATTTAAGAGATTTAAAAACTTGTTTTAAAGTTGTCTAAGTCTCATTTATAAAAAGGGGATAATAATTTCATAGTCATACCATTATAATTAAATAAGAAATACTTGTACCATAAATTTTTAAACATGAATGTATTTGAGCACTACCTTATATTAGATACTATTCTAAACTATTCTAACTATTGTTGTGGGAGTTTTTGTCTTTTTAAAAATGTATCTTTACTATTGAAAGCATTACAGATGTCCCCTTTTTCTCCTCCCATTGACCTCTTCCACCCCACTTCTGCACCCCCTCCAAACTATTGTTTTTAATCCACCAATAATTTCTATCAATTTGAATTATTTTTGTTTAAAATTTCTTTTTCCCAACTCTTTCCAAGATTCTAACCTGAAATGTAGCCATTATCTACATTCGGTTTTTAAATTCAGTAGTGTCAAACTCATAAAAGCCACCTGTTTGAAAGAGATCATTTTCAATCCTCAGAAAAGTCTTATGAATCAGATTATTCAGCACCCTCTGTTTTATAGATGAGAAAGTTCAGTCAGACTATAACTTGCCCAAATCCACACAGCATGTAAAAGCAAGTGATAACCTAGCCTTCTTATCCAACTATGATAAACTAAGTATCTCCAGAACAAAACACCCAGAATAAATTTTAGTCCTTTCCTCCAAAGCTCTGCTAATTGAGGATCCTGGCTGGTAAAAACAGGTCTTATGTTTTCAGTCAGGTGCACACATTCTCCTTCCCCAGAACATTAAAATGAATTGTCTCTTTAAATCATTTATCTGTCCCATCTGGTTGGTCAAGGATATCCTGGTGCCTTTTGCCTATATATATATATATATATATACACACACACACACACACACACACACACACACACACACACACACATATGTATGCCCAAATTTCAAGCTTAGAATGCTTTCTGCCTGAGTTGTCTATACTTTATTATTAATAATTATATTTATATTTGCAATAAATACAATAAACATTTCAGCTGGACTTAGGACTCCACTAACTTTATCCATCGAGAGCAGTGATAACTAAATAAACAAGCCTACAATTATTTTGCCTACTTTCGCATTTATATTACATTAGAAGACAACAATTTGTAAAGGTGGTTTTTATGAGTTTGACATTATTGTTATTTTAATTCTCACCTGAGAATATGTTTATTGATTTTAGAGAGGGAGAGAGGGATGGAGGAGGAGAAAATAACATTAATCGGTTGCCTCCTGAATGCACCCCAAACAGGGGATCAAACCCACAATCTAGTTATGTGCCCTGACCAGGAATCGAACCCGAAACCTTTCTGGTGCAGGGGGATGACACTCCAACCAACTGAGCCACCCAGCCAGGACTGAGTTTCACATTATTGAATCCAATAATTGAATTTGAATGATGACTTCATTTTAGGTTAGAATCATGAGAAGAGTTGAGTAGAACTGGAAAGGAGACATCATAAACCAAAAACTAATTCAACTTGATGAAATAAATGTTTGACTGCCTGATAAATCTAAATTTTTTAATTAAACTTCTTGAAGTAATAGGTAACAGTGGTTAATAACATTATACAAATTTCATCTCTACATTATAATTTGGCATCTGTTGAGTGCTCCCAACCCAAAGTCTAGTTTCCTTCCATTACCATATATTTGACCCCCTTGATCCAATTTATCTAATTCCCTTCCTCTCTGATAACCACAGTTCTATTGTCTGTACCTATGGTTTTGCTTTGTTAGTTCATTTGTTATTTTTGTTTTCTATTCCCCATTTAAGTGAAATGATATGGTTTTGTCCTTTCCCCTCTGACGTCTTTCACTTCACATAATACTCTTAAGATCCATCCAATGTGTTGCAAAGGGCGATGAATCTTTATATGTTCATTAAAGACACTTTTCCCAAGAGTTTCAGAGCAAGTATTGTATACAAAAGGTGACCATTTTCAAAGTAATTATCTACTGTACGTTGTTTCTCAGATCAATCATGTTGCTCTCTTAAAAATGAGTTCACCTTGCCGGAACCAGTTTGGCTCAATGGCTAGAGCGTCGGCTTGGGGACTGAAGTGTGCCGGGTTCGATTCCGGTGAAGGGCATATCCCCAGTAGGGGGTGTGCAAGAGGCAGCTGATCGATGACTCTCATTGATGTTTCTAACTCTCTATCTCTCCCTTCTTCTCTGTACAAAATCAATAAAATATATATTTTTTTTAAAATTAAAAAAAAAAATGAGTTCACCTTGAAGCCTAAGGAAGTACTTACTAATTAAATGGCACAGATCTGCCAAGAGACAGGGAATGTTGTGTTATTCCTTGAGAAGGAATCAAAAGACACACACTTCAGAATTGTCCCATCTTTCGCAATATCACCCACATTAATTCCAGGAGTTCCTCCTGTTCTAAATAGAGTCAATTCAGAGAGGAAACAATGAAAAATATGCCCAGTAATAGCCCTAGTAGAGAAACAGATAACATCACATATGTTTCATTACATGGAAACTCTTCTCACAAAGACGCCCATTATCTTCTTCTCAAACAGCATTATATTATTGAACATTTCCACCTTTGTTCAAGGCCACAGGGAAGAAGAAATGCCTAAACAGAAATTCGATTTTCTAATCCGCTTAGATCTTATCAAAACACAGAAGAGGAAATTAAAAAAAAATGTGTCAGAGCCTATTAAAATTAAAAATTAAAATTGCTCAACTGGAATTCCATATTGGCTTTAAGTGCTAAGTTTTTCAACGTTTTTCCCCACCCATCTACACTTTTGGAAAACTTTTAAATCTCACCGTCCTCCATAGTATAGGTTGTCCTCTCGCCCCAATTTGAGAATTACTGTACCCACACCAGCTAAAGTTTCCCCATGTTAATTTCTGTGGCTTATATTATGGAAGTTATATAGACTTTTCTGAATTCCAAATATCATTACTCAATATTTCACCCCTGAAAATCATTACTTCAAATGAATATGTAAGCTACTCAAAAGCAAAAGTGCCATATATTTCTAATAGGTTATAAAATGATTGGCTTCCTAGGCAAACAGAATTGTGCCTATGGTACATGGATTATCCTCATAACAATTACCTGTACTATCTCAATAGGACATCTTTCTTCGCCCACTCAGTCTGGTGTAGAATTCTTACAAAGGCATGTAGTGACATGGAAAGGAAATTACTGAGATCTTGAGGTTCTGAGCAAGTCACTGATTCCTTCTGCATCTTTGTTTCCAAATGTGTTTTCTAAAAATGATTAAGTCAAGGGTTTCTACATTCTAGAATCTCTTTAGTCAGTCACTAACTCAGCATCCTACCTATTTCCAGAGACAGTTCATTGTACTAATCTTCAAATACATTAACCTAGCCAAACATCTACCACCAATCGCTTGATCTTTCTTAAATGCTAAATGTAGTCACTAGTCTGTAAGGTGATCTAAATTAAAAACACAACAACAAAATAAAAAAATAAAAAAAAAAGGAGTAACACAAAGGTAACATGAGTGGAATGAGATTAACCCGAGTTCAATGATACTAGGAGTATGTATCCTTCAAATTACAGAGCCAACTTTATGAGGGAAAGGATTTCAAAAGATGAAAACACACATAAGAAAATAATAGTTGGGCAATAATATAATGTTTTCTTTTCTTCTCAGGAGTATTCAAGGAGAGAATAAACCTCTATTAGTGTCCTTTCCAAATCCTACCTACCTAGTAAATTTTCTTGCCATTTCACTAAAGCACTGAATCTCATTTGCTTATTTAGTTCTAACTCCAGCTCAATAACCTCCTAACTAACCCACTAAGAGCACTCTCCCCTCTGCTGAAATTTCAGGAAATAAAATAACTTATTTAAAATTACACTGTCCTATTAGATCATAAAATACTAGAGCTGGCAAAGTCCTTAGGAAGCAACTGTCCAACCCTTCATTTTATAAGCAAACTAGAGCCTAAAGAAATTAAGCAAGTTAGCTTTTTCACAACGGGTCTACCTCCAGAACACAGGCTTCATGAAAACCACCACTAAATCAAAGCAAAAATGGGAAAGGAAAAGACTCATATCAACATCATTGTCATTGGACATGTAGATTTCAGCAAGTCTACTACTACTGACCATCTGATCTACAAAGGTGGTGGGATTCACAAAAGAACCATAAAAAAAAAAATTGAAAAGAATGCAGAGATGGGCTTCCTTCTAATGTAAGATTAACTTATTCACAGCTTTACTTTAAAAATCCATTACGCCACTACTCACAAATTTGCATAATAGCCCTTCCTTGAGCAGCCTATAAGAATTACATAGAGCCAAAACTGGTTTGGCTCAGTGGATAGAGCATTGGCCTGTGGACTGAAAGGTCCCAGGTTCAATTCCAGTCAAGGGCATGTACCTTGGTTGCAGGTACATCCCCAGTGGGGAGTTTGCAGGTGGGAGCTGATTGATGACTCTCTCTCATCGATGTTTCTAACTCTCTATCCCTCTCTCTTACTCTCTATAAAGAATCAATAAAATATATTTAATAAAAAAGAATTATAGAGAATATAATGAACAACATAAACTGATGAACAAAAATAAAGCCAGAGGGGGGGGGGAAATTTTAGAATAAAATAGAAGTAATATGTTATTTTCAGATTTTTACTATCGCTTACAATTTTTGTGATTTTATAGTATGTTAGTACAGTTTTGGTAATGTTATTTAAAATATTTTTCTTGAAATATGAATGTTTATTACATGTAACATATTTAAAATCATTTTATTGAAATATTAACATTGATTGCATGTAAATGGGTAATTATTTTGTATCTACAATAGATTTGTTTTGTATATTGTAAAAAAAATAATGAATTTTGAATTAAAAAAAGAATTAAATATATAACTTCCACAGAGTAGACATTCTCTCAAAGAATCAGCAAAGATCCAATTCAGGAAATTGTTTTTAAAATTGAAAGCTGGGGACACAAGAGAGGCAAAGAAGGGCATGCTACATACCCTGGGAAAATCCAGCCACTCCTGTGCTGCTACACAAAGTCGGCACCTTAGAAAACCACTGATAGTTCAGTTGAAAGGAGAAAATAGACTTTCATCTTGAGTTACGCTTCTAAATTATTTAGACCACCAAAATGTCTTTAAGACCCTACTACTTTGAGAGCTATGCTGAATGCACCAATTTTGTTAAGATTTTGGATCCTCAAAATAGAAAATATTTGGTAGTATGGGTCTTACTTTATGTTATCCACGGAATGAAGAACTGTAAGAGTGGTTTTTAAATTTGACTGCACTTCAGTATAAAAACTTTTTAAGACGTCCAGTACCCAGGCCACAATCCAAATCAATTAAATCAGAATCTCTGGGGTGAGACTCCAGCATGAGTAAATCTGTCCAGATGTTTCCAATGTACAATAAAAAATAACCACTACTGAACCAGATGATCTCCAAGGTCAATCTAGTTCCAAAATTCTCATCTAAGTCAGCTCATGTCCACTGAGCCATGCAATTTTAATGCTAATAAAGGCTAGCGATATAATTGTTAAAGGCAGGTTATGGAAAGGATATAGTAATTCACCAATGTAAAAAGTGTGAATAATCAGTGGTAATTGATTATTGAATATTCACTAACCAACTGGGTATGACAGCAAAACCCCAAATTTAAAAACTAAAAGAAAGACAATTTGAGCCAAGAACACATTTAAGCTATATAAAACTTATAAAATTATTTATCAACACATGAGGCTATATGGTAATTTCTCAGTTTCCCTAACTTTCCCTTATTAATAAATCCCTTGCTATGTGTATCAGAATGTGTGTGTGTGTGTGTGTGTGTGTGTTCACAGCATTGGGCAAAAATAAGTTATCAGTTATGGGTATGCAAAACTGAGTTTAATTTTGTATTATTTATTATTGTATTATTTCCCATACAAACTACTGTAAACCTCTTTTTTCCCTACCCCAAACATATATGCACTTATATTCTAGCTCTGTCCAATGAGAGAGCCCAGAAGAGGGAATAACCCTGCAGCAGTGAGCACAGCTAACTACCTAGATCTTGGTTTCTACTATCATTTTCCAATCAAACACATCAGGGGTGCATAGAGAAATGGCTAACTCTAGAACCGGGGTGAGGGAAACCCAGTGGAAGCTGAAGCATTTAGTCATATCAGAAAGTGCTTAAGGGGAAAGAGAAAGATGGGGCACATCAAGTGGCCACAAGAGCAAACCTGAAAGAGCTCTAATGCCCAGGGATGGAAAAACCTGAACAATAAAATAACGTCCCATTAAACTACAACCCAAATTATAGAATTGATATGCTTGAATCCATCATGTTATAAATACTTGACTGAATAAATGAGGGAAAACGGGTAATCTTTTTTAGAGAGGAATTCCAAATGATGTATATAGGAGGTGAGACTCAAATCTCGCCATCCCATCCCTTGAGTGTGGACTGGGTTAAAGCTGTGCTTCCACAGACTAGAGTCTGCACGAGGAAGGTGGGGGTAACATAACCTCCCAGCAGAGAAACCCGACAAACACTACCTGAGCAGTGTGACCCAGGTTACATGTGACCCTGGTATTATGTAACATTTCATGGACTTCCTCCAGAAACTCACACCCACTGTATCATTATGAGAAAAACATCAAACCCCCACCGAGGAACATTCTACAAGATAACTCCTCATTAGTCTGTCCCTCCCAACCATCAAAGCCATAAAAAAAAAAAAATAATTAAAAATAAAAATAAAAAAAAAACAAGGGAAGATTGAGTAATACAGGTCAGAAGAGAAGGAGGCATGATGACTGCATGCAACTTGATAGCCTGGATGGGATAGTCTGGAACAGAAAGACGTATTCGTGGAAAAACTAAAAGAGTACGGATAAAGTCAAGGGTTTACTGAACATTACTGTAGTATTGTTTTCTCTGTTTTTACCAATGAATCATGGTAATGTCAGATGTTAACTGTAGGAGAAACCCAGTGAGAGATATACATGGACTCTCTAGACTCTCTTTGCAATGTATGTAATTGAAAATTATTCTGAAGTAAAAATTTTATTTTTTGGAAAAAAAACGATATGCATGTGGATAGATCTAAAGAAAGAAAGAAAGAAAGCATCACAGTTAAAAAATAACAATGCAAAAAATCTCCAAAGGTTCAGCAATGGCATGCTTCCTCTGAAGTTGGATCTAAGCTTGGCAATGCATTAAACTGGAGAGAAGGAACATTCATCGTTTCAAAGGACTGAAAGCCTAAACCACCTACTTTCCCCTTTCTTCTTAACCACATCCATGATCGAGACCCTACTCATTCTTGCTCCTCAACATCGCCTTTCTGCTACCACCGTCCAACATCTATTTTAAGGCTTTCATCTACATGTAGAGGCAGTAATTTGTCTCCCCACCATCAATCTTTTCCTGTCCTATCAATTTCACACAACTGTTACTTCTCCAAAATGAAAAACTTAAAAATCTTTGATGGCACCATACTTTAACCACAGACCGCACGCACGCACGCACAAACACAAACACATGCATGCACGCATGCACACACCATAAAGTAATAACTGATATTGGCTTTGACCAACCTCTTACTATCCCTTCCCCAAGCACCGTATTTGCTAATCAAAATAATTTGCTCCCAAAAGCCCACAATAATTTTTCTTTTTGTTTGTGTTTAATATTTTTCATCTTATATCAGATTGTGGGCTCCCTAAAACAGGAAACATCAGGTCTTACTTATTCAGATTCATTCTCCACTGACTAACACAGGACCTTATGCAAAACAGGTACTTAATACATGTTTTTTAATATCCTGCAAAACTTCGTTCCCACAGAAAATCAATTTGAAGATAAATAATAGTAATTTAAAAACCTCCTTAAAAATCAGTTTAACAAGCTCTGCTCAAAACTGGTCATCTGACCACATTTGAGTCATCTTTTCAATGTCACACCAATTCAGATGACCAGCGCCAAACCGAACTAGACTCTGAGATAAGCCATTATCTTTGACTGCAGCTGTGAGCAACTGTGAGACCACAAAGAGGAAGAAAAAAGGACCATTCAACTGGATGGCAGAACTGCAAGTACTTTTAAAAAGTACAACCTATATGTTACAGACTTGTGTGCCTCTGTCCTGGTCTACCTTTGAAACCAGTGCTTATGATCTCCATGATAACGTCCACTATCCCCCACAGCACAGGGGCTAGGAAAAGCACAAAAGAGATCTCGGATTTATCCAACAATTTGGGGCAAAATTTCTGTAGCCAAGCCCTAAGTCCCATCCACTACTCAGATTTCCTTACTTGATCGCATCCTATATGTCTTGTTTACTAGGTCACCGGCAAAAAAAACACATGCCTCACACCGACAGTGAATGACAAGAAAGAAAGGAAGGTGGAATAGTCAACTACACAGGAGCCCGCGTTACCTGAAACCTTCTGGCTCAACACCTGATCCCCAAACAATCCATATTCAGTTCATCATCATTATGTGTGGATTCCATATTTGTGAATTCCCCTACTTGCTAAAATTTGTTTCTAACCCCAAAATTCAATACTCAAGGCGCTTACTTCCAAGGTCATCCAGGGACATGCACAGAGTGGTGGAAATCGTGTCATCCTATAGGCACCATCTCACCAGCCCCGCCTTGGGGGAACTAGGGCACTGCTCAGCCTTCTTGTTTCAGCTCTTCTATGTAAACCAGTCCTTCTTGAGGTGGACTTGTGTCACGTTTTTCAAATCTTTGTACTTTGTGTTGGTGATTTCACTGTTTACAAAGGCCCCCCAAGCATAAGTACCGGCTAATGTTCCCAAACAAGAAAGCTGTAATGTAATTGAGGGAGAAAATGCACCTGTCACCAGTAGATACTCGTCCTTCCCATATGGGTTAGAGTGCTGTTCATGAGTTCAATGTTAATGAGGCAACAATATACAGGGTAGGCAAAAGTAGGTTTACAATTATACAAAATATAAGAATATAAGAATAAATTCTGTTTTGTGTACTCACACCTGTAAACCAACTTTTACTCACCCATGTACATTAAATGGGGTATCTTTACACAGAAAATGGAGTTATATGTTGATTTGGTGACAAAATGGTTGTGACCAGAGGTTTGCAGGAACCTAGCCTTGAATATGCCCTAGGAGAAATGGCTCATGGTTCGCTAATTCAGTGCTCTCCATGATTTAATAGATTATAAGTACCATAAGTAACAAGATAAATTAAAATAATGTATTGTAATAACAGTAACAACATAACTAATAATAATGTAAATTAATATTACCTGATGAAGCTTCTAGAATTTGCAAATATATATATTTGTAAAAGATTACAGGAGCAATTTTCTAAGATCCAACTTTTTACCTATGCCCAACCATTTTTTTTTTTTTTAAGAATAGTGTTAATGTTGCAACATTTTATAAATTCAAAATTATGTCCTAAGTCACATCTGTTTGTGATAACAACCTGTCCCCTATGAACTTCAGATTATCAGTCTAAAACAAACAAGAAGCAAACCTACCCAATTCTCATTAGGCTGAGTGAAATAAGCCAATCAATGAAAGAGAAACACCACACGACCTCACTCATTTGTGGATAATAAAGAGCATTATAAACTGATGAACCAAAAGATAGATATAGAGACAGTATATCAACAAGTAGACTGTCAAATTACAGCGGGGAGGGGAGGAAGATCTGGGGGAGATAATAGATCAACTGAAGGACTTTTATACATGCATATAAATACAACCAATGGACACAAAACTCTGGGGAGGGAGGGGATGTGTGGGAGGGAGGGAGGGGGGCAAAAAAAATATCAATAAAATATATTTTAAAAAAAACAAAACCTACCCAATTCTAAACAATTTTATGAAATGCTTATGCAAAACTGAACAGTCTAACATTTAATACTTAAAGCAATTTTTGAGCACTCAAAATTACTAATATACATATAAATTATCTATTTAGGAAAATAAAACAGGTAATTCCCTAGTTCTTTTTCATCATTTATATGAAATAGTCTAATTTAAAAAAAAAAAGTAGAAGGGGGTATGAATGGGAAACAGGAGGACAAAGAAGAAAAAGAAAAACTAAAACTGAAAATTTAACTAAATTTGCTATTTTAAAGTGTCCAGAGTACAGTTGAAGAGCCAATTTTACTTCTTAATCAGTGGATAAGATATTTCAGGCATGATGCAGATTTAAAAATTGAGACCTCAAAAAATGCTGTAGTGTATAAATCTGTTTAACCCAAGTTTAATTTGGATCCAAACAGTAATTTCAAAATACATAGTAGTAAACATTTTTTAAAATGTCAACATTTCACAAAATATACTATAGAGAAAATTTGCATAACATAAAGCAATCTATTCTTACGAAATAGGTTTACTTTTGTTTCTTCTGGGCCTGTTTGTCAAAGTCCCACCAGAAAACAACAAATAAGCAGAAAGATGTACATTCTCCTCCTGAGAAAATGTAATATGAAATCAAGATTGCCTCCTGCACCCAGTGCCTAAGTATACAGTCAAAACTGTGAGAATGAACAGATCATCTTTTCTGTCAAAGAACAGTTTAGACAGCCGCCATTTTGGACTGAGTGACTTGGCAGCTGCCATGCTGACCACATGGCTTGCAACTCCCCTGGGGCCACCACCTTGAAACAGCAAAGGCCAACCTCACCCTTTCTATTAGCCAATGGCGAAAGACTGTGCTCTAGTCAAGAGCAAGGGACAGGTCATGTGCATCAGGGATTATAAAGCTGAGCAGCCCACCTTGTCGGTGTGCACGCGTTTCCAGATGATTTGTGTGCACCCTTGTACGCAGAAGTAAAGATGTTTGCCTTGCTGCCTGGCTCCTGGATATGTTTTGTATTCTACCAGACCCCTGATTTGGGGGACTCGCCTTATTTCTAACAAACCTAAGAGTGGTTTATAAGAAAACCATAAAAAAATCACACTGAAATTACATTTTCAATGAAAAGAGTAGGCATTTCATAGGTGGTTAGTAATTATATACCACCATATGTATTTTAAGTACTTCAGAGTCTTTAGAGGGAAAATTAACCACCATCTTGGATAAGTTAATTTGCATGCTCATTCCTGATTGGCTTGTGGGCGTGGCAGAGGTACAGTCCATTTGCATGTTTCTCTTTTATTAGATAGGATAAAATGAACTGAGATTACTGGAAAGAATAGGAGAACAAAGTAAAGATAGCTTTTGCCAAATCATATATTTGCGTTCCTATACTCAATGACATGGAAAGGATAGGAAGAAATGAAATTGAAGCATTACACAGAAATACGACAACTAACATACTAAATATCCATTACTAAAGGACTAGATTAACTGTGATACAATGGAATGCTATATACCAACTAAATAAACAAACCTAATATACATCAACATAAAAAGACCTCAAGAAATATGGCTGAGAAAAAGGCAAGTTTCAGAATGACATTAGTAGCATTATAGAATTTAAATGAACTTTTAAAACACAAAACTATGGTTTATGAAGACACATAGAACAAAAGAATAAAAACAGATTGCAAGGACATCCACCAAATTTTCCACAGTGATTGGTACTGGGTAAGAGCAAAGAATATGAGACTAGAGAAGGAAAAAAGGGTCTTTCTCTATACTGTTCCGTTGTCAGACACACACATACACAAACACACACACAAAAGAATATGAAAAAAGGAGGTTGCAAAAAGACAAATGGGCTTCTGGCTACCGTAAAAAAATAATTTTGGTGAACAAACTGACTATACACATTGAGGCTTCACTATGCTGTCACAGCATACACAGACACAACCCAATGTCATACTCTTGTCTGTTACTGGAAGCTACATTTATAGAACCTAAGGTCTCCATGGCAACAGCATGGTCTGTCAGAAAAGAAGGTCTTTGTTCAGAGTCAGAGAAAACACTTCCCCAAAAAGTACCCTGCCCATCTAAAAACAAACCAAAAAAGGCCAGAAATACGTACTCCATACAACTCACTCCCCCTCAGATATCAACTTCAAAGCATGTAACATTTGATAAAAGCTCTTATCTAGAGCATTATGTGTATATCCTTGCAGGTGTAAAAAAACTGTAAAACTTAATCCAAGTCCTCAGTCGAGATAAACTATTATCATATGGTTTTTACAAATCCTTCTTTTATTAATTAATTCATATGGGCCCAGTAAAATATTTTGTACACAAAAATATATTTTCTATGAGTATGGCAGAAGATGGAGAAAATAAACATTCCAGGCATGTTATTTTTATGTCTTTCGCTTTTACAGGTTTCCCTTTATATCCCGTAACCTTTGAGACTCCAACAAGGGAATTTTAAGATATGAACCAAGAAAAAGAATGTCTCCTTAATCCTTGAAAATTACTCAACAACCATTATTTTTAATGTTTTAAAATAAACAGGAAATTACATGCATTTGTCTTGATTTCATCTTGCAATCTAACACAGTGCTTAAGAGTACAAGTTCCAGACCCCAAGTCCCAGAGTTCCAACACCAGCTTTACCCCTTACCATCGGCATCGGCTCTGATAAGCCACTGCACTTCAAAGCCTCCTCTGAAAAATGGGCTAACATGTTCTTTACATAATGTTCTTTACGTATGTTCTTTACATAAAAATGGGCTAATATGTTCTTTACATAATGTTCTTTACGTATGTTCTTTACATAAAAATGGGATAATATGTTCTTTACATAATGTAAAGAGAGAATCCAATACATGCTTGATATTAGCTGTGAGTGCTTATAAGCTAGAAGACTTTAAAAATTAACCATTGCTTTCTATAGTTGAAAATGCTGAATATGAAAAGAGGGCTCTTTTTAGAACTCTATGTGTTAAGTGATCTTTTTTACTTTGTAACAATAAACTTGCTTCGTTTACCCTTTTGTGCCTACATGCATTTCACATTATTTTCTATGTGTGTTATTTTTTTTTTTAAATAACATAAAATAAACTATGACGTATTCTGGCAAATCAACCCTTCCTCCATAGCAGCTGTTGTGTGAAACTGACTTATGAAATGTAGACAAAGAAATGAAATATTGGATCATCTGGTGCCATCCACTTGCCAATGTACCCGTAGAATTTTTCCATCCTATAATTCATGTTCAAATACCGCAAATAAATTGTTTACTGGTTTTGTCAGAAATCAATCTGGATTTATTATATATGAGAAAAAATGTTTCTCATTTTGTCGGAGCTATAAATCCATTAACTTCGGATGACAACAATAAAGGGAAAAATAAAACAAAATGTTACTATGATTTTTAATGTTCTGAGTGGATTTTTTTTTCCTTCTTTGTGGATTAAAATACCTCTTTCTTTACTTTCAGAGTCAAAAAAAATAAAATAAACATGCAAATGAAGTCTCTGTTCCAAGCGTCCTAGATAACAATCTCTGCTATAAAGTTGCTATTCCTATCATCTTAGATCCACACAACATGGAAGGACATCTGGTCATATGTACTCAGAAAGCACTGGGAATTCTTCCACTCTGGACACGTGCCCCACACAACACGGATGCACTGAGATGAGCACTTACGTTACCGAAGTGCTGGGCTCTCAGAGTCCCCTCTTTGTGGAGTCTGTCGCCACTTAATATCAAGCACGTCTTGTTGCTAAGTAGGTAAAACTGGTTAAAATACCCTCCAACACTAGACAGTAAACATGAAAATATGTTCAACCTCACCCAGAATCAAAGAATTGTTATCTAAACACAATTTTTCATTTCTCAGATTGGCAAAATTGTAAACATTTAATGAAAGCTATCAGTGGCATGGATTTTTACACACTGATGGCAAAAATATAAATTGCACAACTTTTTCAATGAGCCATTTGCCAATAGCTGTCAAAATGTTAAATTTATGTATTTATATGTTTATATATTTATATAGAGAGAGAAAGAGAGACTTGGTAATTCTACTGCCAGTAATCTAATCTGTGTATCTATTCACACACACACACAAAAAAATCCAAAAACATACATACACACACGTTTAATGATATTCACCACAGAACTATTTGTAAAGGGTCATGGAATCCACAACTACCATGAATGTCCACCCTTAGGGGACAACTGAGATCCATGACAGTGAAGCCCAGGAATACTGTGCACCCTCTGGACAGGATGAGGCTGACCTCGGATCCCCTCACGGGAATATGTAAAAGGCAAGAACTACATGTACAAAATGACCCCACTAGCTTAAATTAATTTTTTTAAATCTCAATATACTGATAGGATGATAAAACTTAGTTTCCAAGGGTACAAAAATCTTATTAGAGACTGGGATGGTGGTATACAGAAGAGAGGCTTTCCTTCACTTACATTGTTTTAGATTCAGTTCTAAAATATGTTTGTTTTTTTAAAAAAATATGTACTAGTATTTCTGGTGAAAAATGAGGTACAAAATAGATTCAACACCACTGCTTGTAAGATCAGATATTAAGTGGGCACTATCAGTGTTAAATCCTCTCCTCCCAGCACCCACCTGCTATCCAATAAATAACATGCTAGTCTTGATTTTGTTTTCTATTACACTGCATTTTCTTGATCTTTTCAATTAGCCAAACTCAAAATATAAATTCAAGATTCTCTTGTTTTCATCATTTAAAAACACAATAGAGCTGGGGAGGGGGAGAATTCCCCCAACACCGCTCCTGCCTATAAATCTTCATACAGTACTTCCCAAATCAGCAGTTGCCAACCGGTGGTCTGAGAGGTCCAACAGGTTGGCAACTGCTGTCCCAAAAGTCAACTTACCTAACTCGTCACAGGAAGGAGCGCTGTTAGTAGAATTATCACCGAAACCCTTTCCTCACGTCCATCCCCCATAATGAGAAAAACCTGAATCCTCTGACATTTATAACAATTAAAACTGTCACCGCACAACTGGACACTTGGCATTCCAAAATAAACATCCCACAAAATACTTAAAGAAATAATAATGTTATGAAATTAATATATAGCTTCCAAAAACAACTGCTCAGACCTCATGGACCACTGGTGGTCTGCGGAGGTTTATTTGCTGTTTATGTGCTTGATTTCCAGAAAGGGGTTGTGCTTTTATTTTATTTTTAAATTTTTTTATTAAATTATTATCTTTGTACATATACCATTGCTCCCCCCCTCCCATACATGCCCTCCCTCCCCAGAGTTTTGTGTCCATTGGTTGTACTTATATGCATGTATACAAGTCCTTCGGTTGATCTCTTATCTCCCCCAGAGGGGGTTGTGCTTTTAAATATTATATAATACCTGGATACATATCTAGTCATTACATTGGACACCTGAAACTAACTTAACATTGTATGTAAATGGTAACTGAAAAATAAATTTTAAAAAATTTTAAAGAAATAAATATCTGGCATCTTCTCAATTTGTTGAATGCACACACACGTGATAAAAACACATGGCTATACCAAAATAGCCTAAGTTATACTAAAACGATCTTTACCTAACAGGGGGGGAAAAAATCCTTAGAGTATAAAGCATTGAAAACATTGAGGCTAAACACCACAATGGATTAATCTGTGAAAATACAATTAGACTTGCTTTCAAATCTTTAAGCACAACAGGCAGTCCTAGTGAAGGTCATTCATCATTCGTAGTGGTAATGGAAGAAAAGACCACTGGCATGCTATTAAGTCGAACACTCTTAAAAAGGTACTCTAATGGTGAAATATTCCATTCCGCTGACACTCTCAGAGCATGGGCCTCCATTTCCCTTCCAAAAGAAATATCTCAGCAAGCCTGGATTTCCTTCTTCCTGTTTAATGACTCCACCCCTGGTGTGACAAAAACCAAAAAACCTGAAGGAATCTATTTTAAGAACAGATATTTACTTAGGTATTTTCTATTTAATCAGTAGGATGCAAAGTTATCCGTGCCTTACCATAAACAAAGACAAACAAAAAAAACAAAAACTGCCTGCTTTGTCCACTGTTCACTTACTAATATTGAACGAAGAAAAGTCTTTTAACAAATCCTAGTTAATAAAAGATTACTTTCGAATAATTTTGAGCTTAATATCCCAAATTACCAAAA